GCATCACCTATTCGATCTATAAGATCGTCTATCCTTGGAATCGGAAAGGAATCAGTCTTTGTGAATGCATTCACTTTCCTGAAGTCAGTACAAAACCTGTAACTTTTGTCAGGCTTTGGGACTAAAATACATGATGAACTCCAGTTACTAGAGCTTGGTTCAATTATATCCTTTTCAAGCATGTATTTTATTTCAGATCGGATTATTTCAAGTTTTTCCGGATTGACCCTATAGGGATGTTGCTTGACCGGAACTGCATTGCCAATGTCAACATCATGTACAGCAATGTTGGTTTTATTAGGCACATCAGGGAAGAGTAAAACAAAATCTGCAATAACAGACTTAACAACATCCTTCTCTGACAATGACAAATGTCCTAGTTTCTTATCTAAGTTGGCCAATACTTCTGAATTTTTAAGTTTATAATTACCAACTTTTTCTGGGACACTTTCAAAGGTTTCAGTAACATTTTCTTTAAGTACTGAAGTTACAGTTGAGATTGTGTTAACATTTGTTTCTGAGGATGGACAATGATCATCACATTTTCTATCAAAATATTCTTTTAACATGTTAATATGACATAACTGTTTCTTTCTTCTACGATCTGGTAATTTAAATCATTGATTTTGGACTCAACAACATAAGGACCAAAATATCTAGCTTCTTCTTCTTCTTATATTTGAGGTGCCCACGATCAATTTGTTGATCATTCTGGCTCCTGGTTTAAACTCAGAGTTTGCCTTCTCTTAGACAGGTTGCCGTCCAAGGCTAACGAGTCCCATCCACCCGGGTTGCTTGGGAATGGCTTTGGTGGGGATTGAACTCCAGACCACCAGCTATTTCGTTTGAGACAGTTTAGACCGCTCGGCCACCCAGCTACCTAGCTTGTAGGGCCTGCCCTGGTATTGGCAAAAGCACAAGCACTTTGTCCCCTGAAGCAAACTGTCTGAATTTTGACTTTTTGTCATACCAAACTTTCATTTTAGATTGTGAATCTTTTAAATGTGTTTTAGCCAAATTAACGGCATTAAAAAGTTTAGTTTTAAATTTTTGGACATAGTCAAGAAGTCCTTCCGTGGATGCCGATGACATCCACGTGTCTTTTAAAAGTTTAAGGGGACCGCGAACCGTGTGGCCAAACACCAGTTCGAAGGGGCTGAATCCAAGTGATTCTTGAACTGCTTCTCTTGCGGCGAACAATAGCATGTTGATGCCTTCATCCCAGTCTTTCTCTTGTTCTAGGCAGTAGGTTCTCATCATGTTCTTCAACGTCTGATGGAATCGCTCAAGTGCTCCCTGTGACTCAGGATGATATGCACTCGACAAGCAGTGTTCTATGCCCAACTGGTTCATCACTTGTTTGAATATTCCAGCCTTGACCCAGTCTTTCTCTTGTTCTAGGCAGTAGGTTCTCATCATGTTCTTCAACGTCTGATGGAATCGCTCAAGTGCTCCCTGTGACTCAGGATGATATGCACTCGACAAGCAGTGTTCTATGCCCAACTGGTTCATCACTTGTTTGAATATTCCAGCCTTGAAGTTGGTTCCTTGGTCAGACTGTACAGACTTCGGAAGACCAAACAATGTAAAAACTTCGTCAAGGCTTTGACGATGTTCGGAGTCTTGATATTGCGAAGAGGAATAGCTTCTGGGAATCTTGTTGACGCACACATGATTGTCAGCAAGTATTGGTGACCTGATTTTGTCTTTGGCAGAGGTCCAACGCAGTCTATAATAACGCGACTGAAAGGTTCTTCGAATGCTGGAATGGGTTGAAGAGGAGCTGCTGGTATCTTCTGATTTGGTTTCCCTACCACCTGACAAGTATGACATGATCTACAGTAGTCAACCACATCTTTCTTGATTTTGGGCCAAAAGAAGTGCGACGTTATTTTGTGATATGTCTTCTTTACTCCCAAATGACCTGAAAGTGGTGAGTCATGGGCTAA